CGCATGTGTGTGTGTGTGCGTGTGTGTGTGTGTGTGCATGCGCGTGTGCGTGTGTCTGTTCGTGTGTGTGTGTATGTGTGTGTGCGCGCACGCGCGCATCCATGCGGGTGTTTTACATCCCATTAGGACAATCAAGTCATTTGGGGGATGGTGGCTTTCATCCTGCCTGTAAGTAGGGCCAACCTAGGATGAGAGGGACAGCATCCCAGAAAAAAAGATAGAGAAACATGTACTTGATAAAATACACTTCCTTACGTAAGTATCAAGCTCATGTCTTTTGGGGCAATGGAGCAGATTCTAACCATTGCACCAGAGATGCTGGAGGTTGTTCTAAGAGGAAGTCAAAACAGTCCATGAAACGCTGAATTAGTCATTCACAGACAGAATCCAACAAGATGCTGAAAACACTTCAGCCTTTTTGATAGACCACCTGAGTGAGAAAGGGCAAAAAGACACTAGTTCATGCAGAACGTGAATGTCACTTGCCTACAAAGCCAGTGGCTTGGGTTCAGTTCCTGATCTAATATTGTGTGGCGAGTCGAAAGGTTTTCCTTCTCTTCCTATCTGAAGATGGTCAGATGTCTTATCACTTTAAATTATAAAAACACCCAACGTGGGTACAAATCAAATAGGTGCACAACTCAAAGGATAAGTTTACAAGGAAAAAAAACAAGGAAAAAAGACCTTGAAAAAAATTGTTATACACAACTGTTCAGACATTGAGGGCTGGTCTCAAGTGAGTTAGACTACACAGATGATAAGCTATACAACTACTTTATGTTTTAGAATAAACTGAAGCAAAAGTAACAGTATAAACACTGGCAAAAATATCTTGAATTTATGTATATATCTAAATCGAGCAATATTTTCTTTCATCATCAACAAACCCAAAGACCATGAACATTTCTGCTCTTTTTCCAATTTAAGCTGTAAAAGTACATGAAAGATTCCATGAGTTCACAGACCTCACAATCTGAACCACAAGTTCATAAAACTAACTCCTGGCAACAAGCACAATCTTTTTGAAGAATTATTAGCAGCGGCTTAATAGTAATATTCTTCTCCTTACCCTCTTTTTAACAACATCCATTAACACAAGCAAGTCGTCTCTGATTACATAATAGCCAACATGAGTCTGACTATTGATCCATCTGAACACCAGAAGTAAACAATGACATAATACAGCATACCACGGATAGCTTGAATTCGTCGGGACCAGCCTCGGTAGTTCGAGGGATATCTTACAAAAGATAAAGAAGAAGAAAAAACTGGAACGCAGGCACAATTTGACGGATGCGTGATTTTGAGTCTTCCGTGTTCAACCTATCTGTGATATGCTGTATATCATGATTGACTGATTGTATTTTTTATTTTACATCCCATTTTAGTAGATGGTTTTTAAGGAGCAGGCTGCTTCAACTTCCACCCTGCCTGTCAGGGCCAACCTGGGTAAAGTCTGATACAACACCCATGAAGAAAGACAAAGAAACTCAATAATATATACTCCCCATGCACAAATTGAACTCATGATGGAAGAGTGAAGGAATGAACCCAACCACTCCTGCACAGATATCGGCGTGATACATTATCTCACTCTGAATGTATATCATCCGCAGGTCATAACATTCAACCACAATGCGGTACATGTAGTAGTAACAACATTCATCAAACAGTATTCAATCTCAGCAATTTCAACAAAGATAGAAAAGCCTCCTCTTGACTAGCTTTACTCTCTGTGAACTTTTTTCGAAGGGGTTCAAGTACGGGCTCTGAATCAACAACTGATAAAACATCATATTCTAAATGAATTCCAGAGAGGACAGTTATTCCATTTTGGCCCACAACAGTTTTCACAATGGCAGCAGGGGAGTTTGGAAGGTCCATGTAGTTTGCAACAGAGACAACCTCTTTCACTGGCGAGTCGGGCTTTGGCGGGTCACTGGGATAAAAAGCACAGCCTCCATCTAAGTACGCATCAAAGGCAGAATTGGCACTGTCTGTTAATATCTTGATGGGGACAGCACAGGCTCCTTTGTGGGTTCCGTACCGAAAGCTTGGGTTCAGTGGACCTCTTCCAATACCTGTTTTTATTCAAATTATACAAATCAAAACAAAAGTAATGATTTTATTATTCAAATCATGTATTTATCATAATCATGTTTGGTTGTTTGGAGGGGGGGGGGGGTGTAAGAGTCGGCACTTGAAACTAAAAGGGCATTTCAAAGGTAGTCTAGAAACTGTGGGATATCTGTGGTAGAAAAAAAGGGGTGTCTTCTTCAGTCCAACCTGCCATCGAGGTCACCTCTCTATAGTGGTCACCTGTACTAATGACAACTGTTCCGTGAAACCCTTGCATTTTTTTCAATAAACTTCAAATTCTTTTCATAGAGATCCCTGGCCAACGTGGCTACAGTCAGTCATTTTTGCGACAAGTCAGCTTAAAAACTCACTCATACCAGTAATTGGCTACCAAAGTTTTCCACTAAGCAGAGACCCCAGATTAAGGGTGTACATATGCAATGAAGTTATTATGATAGATAATATAACAATTCTGATGGAAATAAAGTAAATTGGGAAGTAAAGACAAAATTAAGATTTCAGATTTTAAACCATTCGTTCATTTTTTCAAGCATGGTAGTTAAATGACACTAACTTAGACCCTGTCCATAGAGACCATTGGTCGATAACGGTCACTTTACTCTGTGATCTTGAGTGACCATTACGGACAGGTTCCTCAAGTATTTGTTAGACCTGACCATCAGACAACAGAACAGTATAAAAGAAAGTGGGATCGATAACACAGAGAAAAATATGAAACTAACGATTCCTTCAGCATGTCACAATGGTAGTGAAACACTGGTACGAGGTGCACCCCAACAGTTGGGTAGTTTCTAGGTATCGGCAGTCTTGTGGTTAGGCTACCAGAGTTGTAATCATGAGGTTGCGGGTATGGGGTTTGAGCCTCAGGCCCAACATTGTGTTCTTGGGAAAGGCACTTTACACGAATTTTCCTCACTTCACCCATGTGTCAATGGGTAGGCTACCCGGTCAAAGACAGCAAAGTATCTCGTCAGTACGTTAGTTTTTAAGCACCTGGAAGAGGCACTTTGCACTGTATGCTTCCCAAGAAGTTGAAATCCTTTCAGAATGCTATCAGGTTTCTTGGAGTAATAATATAGATAAAGCACATAGAGCTTGCTGTTGAGCAGGAATTTGCACTATACAAAAAATGCTTTCTATCATCATCATCATTCCTTTAATTCTCCAAGAGACAGTGGAAGTGAACTACATCTATTTCTATACCCTCTCCCCTCCCTCCTTTCCACTCATGAGCTGAAAACACAGCAAAACTGGTTCATCACTAATGTCACGTCAAGTGTATTACTTCTAAAGGTCGAGTGGACAGGACTTCTTACAACTGCCTGTGAATCAAAATCTGCACAGCAAATTTAATACAAATGATACCAAACACATAAAACTAGTCATATTCTTACAAAAGTAATGTGCTTGAAAGGATGGATGGATGGATGGATGGATGGATGGATGGATGGATGGATGGATGGATGGACGGACGGACGGACGGACGGACGGACGGACGGACGGACGGACAGACATATGGATGGATGGATAGATGGATGGATGGATGGATAGATGGATGGATGGATGGATGGATGGATGGATAGTTGGAGGGACGGATGGATAGATGAATGAATGGATGGATAGAAGGCCCTTTTCTAACAATCCATCACTCATCAGTACAGACTATAGTGGTTTCAATTTTCATGGGAATTTATTCTGAATTTGCCCTTTCATCACCAAATCCAAAGATCATGAACATTTCTGCTCTTTTTTTGCAGCCCAGCTGTGAAAACCTGCTCTTCTACATTTATCAACAGCAAAAGCGTCTTTATTGAAGTAGAATAGAATTCATAGCGTAAAACATATTTCTTGATTATGAATGATATTTAAAATGAAATACATCATGTACGAAGTTAAAATTAGAAATTCAACAATTAAAAACTGGTACACATACTGAGTTTTAATTACAACTATCAAAAGCAGGGGGCATGTAGCCCTTCCTTGACATTTATATCACCACTCCAGTGTATGGTATGTCTCTTCACAACATCTTGGCTCGATGTTCTCTGCCTGCTGTTGAAAACAAAAATGCACTTCCAACCTGCAAATGTCAGTGGCCACATCCATGCACAATACCACAACACAAACTGGTGAACGAGCAGCAATGAGAATGCAGTGAGGACAATAACCTACAAATTTACCACTAAAATACATCATGGCGTTTAAACATCATAATTTCAGAATTCTCTGCACAAATTTATAAACAGAATGTGGGAAATTATTTTACTGTGGCAGGAAGTTTGACAAAGCACACAGATTCTTCTTAAGGAAGACCACTAAAAGTATGCTTACCTGGGTAAAATCTTATTTCCCGTTCAGAAAATTTTTCAAGGGGTCCTCCTACATCAAATTCAATAAAGTCACAGCCAAAATATCCACCTGCTCCGAAGCCAAGGTAAGATCCTCCATTCAAGACATAATCCTTGACATTTTGTATTCCATCACTGCCAAGGGCCTTGGCAAATCCAGTTGTGTATCCTCCACCAAAAGCCAGAAGGGCAGTCGACTCAGATAAAATGCTTCCTGTAACAATAAATACACAAAGTCACAAAGAAATAAATATTTACGTAACAATAATACACAAATCCACAAAGAAATAAATATTTAAACCTTCATGTTCATCTCGAAGGCTCTCTTGGCCTAGAGGTTAAGGTGTACGCCTCTCATTGGAAGGTCCCGGGTTCGAATATGGGTAGCGAGGGAACATTTTTCTTCTTTAAAATTGTCTCCTTTCACCTCCTTTCTTGCCCTCTAGCAATGTTCTGTCATCTGCTTTCGTCTCCACTTCCTGCCCCAAACCCCTCACCTACTTTGACCCCTCCTCCGGGCTCCTGACTCTTTCTGCAGCTTTTCTACTGTTACTCCAAGGCTCCTTTTCACTGCTGTCTTTAAGCCACACCCCTGATCTTCTGGTAGGAAAGGTCTACACCTAGCCTCCTCAGACAGGGGTGAAAAATCACGGATGTCTCGTGTGCAAGTTGCACACGTTAAAGATCTCTTTTTGGTCTAAAATTGATAACCGAGGCTTCAGCCGGCATCCGAGCAAAATTCAAAATTTCTTACCAAATGAAAATGTTTGGTGTGTCCTTCACGCTCATATAACCTTATGCAGTTGCGAGCGCCTTAAAACACTTACCAAAACAAAAAACAAAATGTTCATCCCACCTATTTGTACATACCTTTACAAGCTCTTGTTTTTAATACAAAAGACAGTTGAGAATGAATGACTCAAGCGCATCAGGACTCCTTTATCTGGACCCTTTTATCAGGATTGTTGTATTGCACCATAAGTAATGCATACACTGACCCAATATTTAGAAAACTCTACCCAGAGTGGGCGCATTTTTGCAAAAATTTTTAAGAATTAACATTCAAAAGAGTAAATTTAAAACCATTATGTTGCAAGTTTTCTTTCTCATCTGAGATAATGTTCAAACATTTCATTCCCTTTCTAAGTCTAAGGCATCTTATAAGCTGGTCAAGACAGAGAGCTGATACTTTGTGTAATCCGTTAATAAATTCCCTTGTCCCCTCCCCCTCCAGCCCTTTTCTAGACTAAGAAACACACACATATGCATACAGACATATGCATGCACGCACAAGCTTCCCCCATCACATACACGCACGCACACACGCATGCAAGCACACACGCATGCATGCACGCTCACACGGCTGGTCCTTTTTCTTTACTACAGATGACAGTGTTTGAGCTGTAATAGTAAATTATATTAAGGTGAATGCAAAGACAAAATTGAAGTTTTGTACTTTAAACATTATTTTGGGTTTTCTCAACACATGATCCTTTATTGCTAAGCCTTTCTCTTTTACCTTGAAGTTGATCCTGACTTTCTTCTTCCACTACATGCACTCGTCTACTGTTAGTCCCCAGATTTTAAAACGGATCTTATTTAAGCTCAAATCACTCTTGCAGGAATCTTTGTATCTTGAAGGAGTTCCTATACTTCCTTTCTCCTGTTCTCCATATAATAATAATGATTAATTGAATTTATATACTGCATTCCATGCTCTACAGCATGCTTTCTGCACTTTAAAACTATTATTACTCCAGCAAACCCTTGAATACTCAGAAATGTTTTTGGCTTCCCAGGAAGCACACAGTACAAGCTGCCAATTGTGGCATCGGTGGCCTAGAGGTTAGGCTACCGGACTCGAAATCGTGAGGTAGCGGGTTCGAGGGTTTGAGCCGCAGGCCCGACGTTGTGTCCTTGGGAAAGGCACTTTACACAAATTTTCCCCACTTCACCCAGGTGAAAATGGGTACCCAGCTATAGACAGTAAAAGATCTTGTCAGTTAGTGTTTGAGGGCTTAACCAGCTGCTTGCACTGCATGCTTCCCAGAAAGCTGAGAATGTTTCTGAGTGTTCTATGGTCTGCTGGAGTAATAATATAGTGTAAAGCGCAGAGAGCTTTCTTTCGAGTGGGGACATGCATATATGCAGTATACAAATGTTATTTATTATTATTATTATTATTATTATTATAAAGCTCTCAAACACTAACAAACTGACAAGATATTTCGCTGTCTAATACCAGGCCTCCCAAAGTCCAACCCTTCGTCTTCGTCGGGGGAGGTGGAAACAGGACAAAGTAGGGGATAGCTGGGTCTGGGTAAAGTACGGTGTGACTTGATGTCACTGAGGCGTTATGCTAGCCGTGAAGGCCGACCGGGATCACCCTGAAACATTGCTGGCTAAAGGGGCTCTGGTGAAACCGTGACTGGACTAGCAAGCCGACGGCGGACAATTACTGCTACGAAAAAATCAAAGGAGAAAACACGGACAGATTCAAACGGAAAACGACCTGGAAAAGTAAACGGACAGCGAGCTAGAACAACGATTAAAATAGGCACATGGAATGTCAGTGGACTTGGAATCAAAGAACCAGAAATAGTGGATTTCATGGAAAGAAAGAAAATCGCAATCATGGGCTTGTCAGACATAAGGAAGAGAGGCAACCACAGCAAGCTGACCCATAAAGGCTACCTCCTGATCTGGAGCGGAACACCTGAAAATGAGAGAGCCAAACATAGTGTAGCTTTCATCATACACCCAGCTAAAATGGATACAATCTATGA